CCCCCCCCCCCCCCCGCCACCCCCAACAGGGTCGTCTTTGCATGGCATCCAAAGAACTCTGGGACATAACCCGCCCGAGAGGTGGAGGTGTTCCCAAGGTCTTTTCCAGAGAGGTTTTCCCAATGATATTAAATCTGCTTGGAGGTTGAGCAGCTTGGGGAGGAGAAATTGCAGGTGGTGTCTTCTGGATCCTAAGAGGGCTAAATTTTAACGCAAAAGAAATGAAAAAGCCGTGAGTTGCTCAAAGCTTACTTGAATCATTTCTCTTACATGCCATTGACGTAAATTCTTCACTGAATACTATGTATGTTATTGGCGGAGGAGCCTATTTTTCCTGCCTCCTCCACCCCCAATAGGTTTGACAGAAGAGAAGGCCACGCCTCTTGCCTGACATCTAGGAGTCCTAGGACGGCCAAAGATTTCACTTGGGCTCCTAAGGGCATGTGGTAGAACCTCTTCTCTTGGCCTGCCAGGAGCTGAGTGCTCTTGTTTCCCTGGAGACATTGCTGGCTTCCCTAGGTCCCCTGGGGCCATGCACCCTGTCACAAAAGGCAGCCTTATCACAGTTGCCCACCAAATGCTGGCTCCACCCCATAAACCTGCACAGAGAGTGCGGCAGACACACACCCCTCACAGCACCCCCGTCTGATTCTAGAACAAAGACTTAAAGAGCCGGATTATCCACCTGGAAGGTTCCTACAGGTCCAGCAAAGAGGGGCTGGTGGTACAGATGGAGGCCAGGATCGCTGAGCTGGAGGACCGTCTGGAGAGCGAGGAGAGGTGAGCCCCACCAGGACCAGCTGCGGTGCAGAGGCTTGGCACGTAGGGGTGGTCACACTGCAGAGTGCTTTCCCATTTGTGTCTCTTGTCCTCATGAGCCTTCATGTGAGGACGGTAGAGCAGGTACAGTGGATGAGAAAACCGAGACCCGTCCCAGTGAGTGCTTGAGGAAGGTAACCAGGCTGAATATACATCAGCAGGACGACAGCACAGGAAGCCTACTCCTGAGTCCCCGGCTTCCCCACCATGCGGCTGCCCCTCTCCCCACCCCTTAGCAGACCACGCTGCCTCATAAGCTACTGAGGTTGAGCTGGTTTAGAGGCAGGAGGTTGACTCTGCCCCGGGGGCCAGAGGTATTGGAGCAGAGGGCAAGTGCCATCTCAGAGATTGGCGGGACCCCCACAGTGGATGGGAGGCATTGGGATCAGAGGGCCAAGCTCATTTCCAGCAGATTCTCTGCAGCTAGCTCTAAGGTCACAGCCTGGGGGCCAGCACCAGGGTTGAGCTTTACTGGCCTCCGTTCTCACTCTTGGCCCCTCACCTTCCTGGAAGGGGTGAGGTGCGTGTGCATATGGCACTGTGCACTATCTGTTTTTCAGTAGGACTTTGGGGCTGGGCTGGAGCAGCCTGAGATCTGTGATGCTCACACCCTGGCAGTCAGGGACCCTCTGCTGTAAAAGTAGAGTCTGGGACTGGAAGAACTCAGGGCAGCTCCAGTCCCAGCTCTGCCTGTTGCTGACTCTGTGGTTTTAGGCGGGTCACTCCCCTTCATAGGGCACCCTTTCCCTCACCTGTCCAGGAACAGCCCCTTCATCCCATACTGTCGTGTTCTCCCACCCTAACCATCACGTTGACCAGGCTGCCTGGCTGGAGCTTCCCCTCCTCCGCAGACTGCCCTGGGCCTCCTGAGGGGCTGAGATGAGAGGGTCTCATTCTCTCTCCCCCACCTTTCCAGGGAGCGGACCAGCCTCCAGCTCAGCAACCGACGGCTGGAGCGGAAGGTGAAGGAGCTGGTGATGCAGGTGGACGATGAGCACCTGTCCCTGACTGATCAGAAGGACCAGGTGAGGGACCCTCATTCCCAGATGGGATTTTACACCCCAGGTAGGAGGGCGATGGAGTTGTGGAGGCTGAGTCCCTTCTTCCCCTCACCCCAGGCACATCGTAGAACAGTGTGGCCTTTGTAGCCTTCTTCAGTAGGGGGTTCAGTAAGCCCTAGCCCCTGAGCTGAGACTGGCTGCTCCCTTTGCCATCTCTCGGTCTCTTGGGGAGACGGTGGCTGGATTGCTGGCCTGTCTGTGCTGGACTCTTCTCTTTCCCGGCTGGACTGGGCGACCAACTAGCACCCAACCTGCCCTCTCTCCCAATGCAGCTGAGTTTGCGCTTGAAAGCAATGAAGCGACAGGTGGAGGAGGCTGAGGAGGAAATTGACAGACTAGAAAGTTCCAAAAAGAAGCTGCAGAGGGAGCTGGAGGAACAGATGGATGTCAACGAGCAGCTGCAGGGACAGCTCAATTCCATGAAGAAGGACCTAAGGTGGGTGAGCGTGGTGGCGCCGTGGGGACCGTGATTCCTCTGACATTTGAGGAGAACTTGGCGCTTTCACTCCTGGTGTCTGAAGCCAGTTCCTTGTTGTCGCCTTGAGGGGTCATCCCATCCTAGAGAGTGGCTGCATCCGCTTGGGTCACCCCATCTGTTCATTCAGGTCTCATATGTGTCATCCCCAAGCCAGTCTCCTGATGTCAGCTGGGCACTTCATCCCTCTTAGCCATAAGGGGTAACCAAGGCTCAAAACAGGAGGCCCAGCTCATACCACCATGGAGAAGGCAGCTCTTAGGCCAGCACTTAGGACTCCTGCTTGTAGGGAGAAATAAGATAAGGTTTGGGTTCTTATCCTCATGAAGACTAGACTATCTCAGGAGAGAACTGTTTCTAAAGCTCCCCTGCTGTGATAAGGGGACTGGGGGTGGGGGTCACTTTACCTGCCCCAGGGTCACTGGGGTGCAGGGTGAGATTAGATTCATGTTCATCCATAGAGCTAAGCCTTTCTCAGAGGCTGACTATGCTGATGGCATAGGTGGTTCTCTTGTAAACGGACAGAAGACCCCAGCCCGTTAAGAATCCTGTAAACAGGGCCTTTCTATCAAGAACCTGACCCCAGGGCTGACATTAGGGTGCACCATTTAAGGGGGCACCAAAAATCTCAGTAATCAAGATAGATAATTAATGAAATATTATAAAAAATAAATGCCAACAGCCCATGGTAAACAAGATACCAAAATTTAAGATGGGATCAACAACGGGGGCATCTGAGCGGCTCAGTCGGTTAAGCTTCCAACTTCGACTCATGTCATGATCTCACGGTCCGTGGGTTCGAGCCCCGTGTCGGGTTCTGTGCTGACAGCTCAGAGCCTGGAGCCTGGTTCGGATTCTGTGTCTCCCTCTCTCTCTATCCCTCCCCCACTTGTGCTCTGTCTGTCTCTCTCTCTCTCTCTCTCTCTCAATAAATAAATAAATAAATATTTTTAAAAAATTAAAAAAAAAGGGGGGGGGGTGGATCAACAACAGCACCCTGACGAGACATATCGTAGTTTGAGGCAAAAGGAAAAATCAGTACTACCCAACTTGTCCCAGCCCTGCCCAGCCCTTCCTATCAACACCAGCCTGCCACGGGCAGTTTGCTCCCTGCTGCTGAAGGAACTGTCAGGTGCACACCAGCCCGTGGGCTTCTCTGCCAGACAGTGGGGTGGACAGACAGGAACCCAAGACCCTTCCTTCATCCCCTGAACAGAGATGAACCGCAGCCCAGGGCCTGGAAACATGCCCCCTCTTCTTTCAGCAGACTTAAGAAGCTGCCGAGCAAGGTGCTGGACGACACGGACGATGATGACCTCAGCACGGACGGGGGGAGCCTCCACGAGGCGCCGCTGAGCTACACTTTTCCCAAGGACAGCACTGCCATCAGCCAGATCTGAGTCCCCTTCCAGGGCTGTGGAGGTGGCCCGTCATGCCTCGCGGAGACCCTCAGCCCGCCTCCTGCAGCGGGGACCTGCAGCTAGCTGCGCACGCGCGGCTGGGAGTGGGAGCGGCAGCGCCCACGCGGAACAGAGACCCGGCGTCCCCTGGTCACAGGACAGGCTGATTCCTCCACGTCGCCGTCCTCCCAGAGTCTCTAAGGGGTAGCACGCCTCTCCCAGCTCAGGCAGGTGGCTACTGCAGCTTAAATGTTGACTCCCGAGGCAGAGGAGCCACCACTCATTGCAGGGTTTGGCGAATATGATTTGGCAGGCGGAAGCCCGGGTTCTGCACCGCCATCTGCTGGCACCGTTTGCAGTGCTGCTCCTGCCCCTCCTCCCTCCCCCACCAAGGAAAAGGGTCCAAAGTGCTAGTTATTATCTAACAGCAATTGTGCAGGGGAGAGAGAGGATGTATAAAGTGTACATATTTTAACCCAGATTCTCATGGACTGCATCTGTTGCCCTGTGGAATATTACAGAGGCTTTGTAGGGTGGCTTGTTTGTAAACTCCACACCTCTAGCTTACTATTTTTTAAAACATGGAGCTATTAGATTTTTATTAAGGCCTAGATGAGAGAGAGGGTAGAATACAGACTACTTTGGACATGAGAGTTGGAAAAAAGGAATTGTCGTGGTGTTAAGGGACAATTAATTCTGAGAAGAGAATTCAAGTGGTCCTAGTAAATAACTTATGGAGGGAGAGAAAGTCTGAGGATCACTTGTATCGGTGGCCCTGCTTACTTATTTTATCTAGAATTTTGTTGTCATTTCTGAACCCTGCTGAGACCAATTCCTGGTCACCAACTGCAATGTCTTTACCACAGTTGGGGTAGGGAGACTTTTAAGTAAGGCTTTTGGCAAGTGATGTAGTTTCTAGAGGGATGGGGTCTTACTGTCATTTCTTATTGGTTCTTTCCTCCCTCTGCCCACATCAGGCCTCCAAGTAGCCTCCTCTGCCTATGGTTGCTTAGTGGGGAGTAGGACGGTGTGGGGACAAGGCTCCTGGACAACCATGTGAGGAAGAAAAGGTGGTGTCCAGTAAGGTCACGGGGAAGGGGAGGAGAGGAGGTAAGCAGGCATTGTGGGTATGCGGAGGAAGGAAGAGAAGGAAGTTCTTGAAAGCTGGGGGGATGTGTAGACAAGGGGCAGATTGAGTCGGATTTCGAGTTTATGTCAGAAAAGCAAGGGAAAACATGAAAGTCAGAGAGGAGGTGTTTCTGTACAAACTGGAAGGCTCCTCCCAGCTTCCTGGGACAGAGGGACATTGGCCTGCACCAGGCATACTGTAATTGGGATTCACTGAGGTCTGTGGTGAGACCATGTTGCTGGGACAGCATTATAGGGAACATGGAATCAGGAATATGCAGTATCCCAGTACTTCGTCCTGGCTTTTCTAGTGTCACCTCCCACTTTGATTGTTCCCAGGTATGGCCAGAGGCCAAATCCAGTCACAGTTGGGCCCCTATAGGTGAGGGCCAGAGTGTAGAGCCAACAGCTCAGGAGGGCCACACCAGGGAGAGAACACTGTAAGATGTGTGTGTATGTACACACACACACATAGTGGGGCAGAGAGACTAGTGTTCAGTTGCTTTGACAGTGTCCCCAGTCATTCTAATAGATGGGAAGCCTGTGGACCAGAGAACTCTATGACAGTTACCAAGAGGAGCAGGGTGTTTCAGTGTGCTACCTACCTGAGGTCACAGAGCCCACTGAGCAGGATTCAGAGTAATCAGCTGGGTTTAAGGGCAGGTGTCACCATCCCCTACCCCAGGATTCCCCCCTCCCCCACTCCAGTTGAGTCAAACCCTCTTCCACCTCTGTTGGCTTGGAGTGGTTCTTGCCTCTAATTACTTATTTGAGGTGTGGAGAGATTCTTCCCTTTAGCTATTTATTCATTGAGCAAATATTGGGCATCCATCATGTGTCAGGCACAGTCCTTGGCCCTGGGAATACAGCAGCAAATAAAGCAAACCAAAATCCCCTCCTGGAGTGCAGTTAGGGGAAAGAGGGTGATGACAACAGTCATATAAATGAACACAGAGGCTGAGCCCCTCCCTACCTAGCCCTGGAGCTCCTCTGTGCTCTTGGGGACACAACAAGCCTGGTTCACTGGAATTCCCTTCGACCCTCAGTATATTCTTGGTTTCCCTGCTTCTTCCACCATCCTTAGAATTTGCCAAGAAGTCTGCCTAAAAATGCCTCAGCTCACTCATAACTGCAGGTGGAAGATGAGAAAGGCCGGAGATGCAAGAACTTTGGGGGTGAGTGTCCATCTTGGTTTGTGAGAAAGTCACTGTCTCTCTTTCTTGCCAGTTCCTTGTGGTAGCCATGAGTCTGGCTGCAAGAAGCAAAGGTGCCCATGAAAAGAGAACAGAGATCACCATTCAAAAGGGTTGAATCCTTACTGGAAAAGATGGGCCGCTGTAGATGTTAACAAACACATCACCCTACATAAGAATGGCTCTAGCAGTGAAGCATGTGGTGTAGTGGGCTGGGAACAACATTGGACTGGGACTTGAGAGGCGTTTTCAAGTCCTCGCTCTTCTTGCCCTGGTGACCTTGACAGGGGTGACCTTGATGGGGCCTGTGCTCCAGAGATTGCCTGGAATAAATGAGGACCATGGTGCAAGGTCCTTCCCAGCTCTGACATGCTATCATTTGATTTTATTATATACTCATTTTTTTCTGTTTGTTGCTTTAAGAACTAACCCTATTCAAGAATATTTTCTTTAGCTAGCTTAAAAAGAAAAAAATATTTTATTTAATAAACAAATACGTGGCCAAATGCAATGCCGAGGAGACAATCATCGTATATCTTTATAATTTTTTTTCCTGCTTCAGAGAGTCATTTGACAAAGGCAAGAGACTTATTCTGTCGGGCTACGGCTTTTGGGTATGTCTGATTGCTTTGGTTTGTCATGGGGAAGAGACGTTCGGGCACATCTACCTCCATGTGCGTGAACTGGATAAAGCAAGGTTGCCTTTCAATAAATGGTGTCACCCAGCAGGAATCTTGACTCTCCCATTATTTTGACTCCCTTGTTTGCTCCAGAGCTTGGCTCTTTGTCCACCAAGAAACAGCAAGGTGAATGGCTGGAAACTGCTTGAGGAAGTGGAACTTGTCATGCCTGGGACCCGTTTCTGAAATAAAAGGGTGGGTGTGGGTCAGTGATAAACACTGAGAGCATTAATATGCCTGCTGCTGGTGATGTGCTGAGACATCCAAACTGCCCACTTGCAGAACAAGGCAAAATGGGAAGTGTGTTAGTAACTGAGAATAAACAGATACTCCCTGTTTATTCCTTGTACCTAAACTAAAATGGGTTCTCCAACAATCAGCGTTTACACATGATCTCTCTTGATCGACAACAGGCTGACTGCAGGTACCAGGGTCCCCATTTTACAGGAAAGAATTACTTCTCCATGGAAGGGACCTATGTTGCTCATTCTTTGTCCTCACATACATCCTCTGCCCTGTTGCCTGAAGGCTGCCTCCTCCATGACCTATGGCCACCCTGTTCGGGGTCAGCCCATAGGAGCAGGTGGGGGTTGGGTATTTCCCTGTTGTCACTCCATGCTTCATGTAACATTTTGGGCTGTGGCTCTTATGGAGACTCGTGACTCCAGCACCCACAGGACTTGGGTGACCATACCTCCCCTTTGTGCCTCTGGTCCTAAAGCTGGTCCTGGTTTCCTATTGCTATTCCTCTGGGTCCCTTGGCAGCCCTGGTGGGTTCCTGCAACATTGCCTACCCCCCTCCCCCACCTCAATGCAGCTCTCCAGTGCAGCTCTTTACTGAATTCTTTGGTTCACTGCAGGTGGGTGCTGTGGCCTGTACAGGGCTGTGCCCACTGCCCTGTCGATTCCCCCAACAGTGTAAATAATCCTGCCCATCCAGCTATTCTGCAGCCCCTGACTCCTCTTATTCTGACTGAATGGAGCATCTCAGATATTAAATGAGATTCTCTAATTTTAATTAGTCCTCAAAGGCTTTGCATAAATTCTGTTTGCCTTTTTTTTTTTTTTTTAAAGTAGGCTTCATGCTGAGCACAGAGCCCAATGCAGGGCTTGAACTCATGCCCCTGTGAGATCAAGACCTGAGCTGAGATCAAGAGTCAGATGCTTAACCCACTGAGCCACCCAGGTGTCCCTGTGTTTTTCCTTAAGGTCAGGTTTGTTGAGGTATCTATTTATCATTTGTAGTAAAAGGTGCTCTTGTTAGTGTTACCTGCTTTTGAAACTGGATTTAGGCTCTTTCCTTGGACCCCCTGCCAGGGTCTCTTGGTGGGGACAGGAGACCCAAGGTGAGCCCAGAGCCAAAGGGATAAGTCCTTCCAGGCCTGAGGCACCCTCCTCCACATTCTTGGCATTTCTTCTTTGAACTTGATAGCAGCAGTGATCCCGTCTTTGTTAGTAGACAGTCATTAGCCAGAAAGTTTTTTTTTAATTTTTTTAAATTTCTGTTTATTTTCAAGAGAGCACGAGTGGGGGAAGGGCAGAGAGAGAGAGAGGGAGACACAGGATCTGAAGCAGGCTGTCAGCACAGAACCCAGTGTGGGGCTTGAACTCACAAACTGTGAAATCATGACCTGAGCCGAAGTCGGACGCTTAACGGACTGAGCCACCCAGGCACCCCAAGCCAAGAAGTTTTCTATTCGAAATTTTCACATGATGGGGGAAATGACTTGACAGCAAGTTCCTGTTAGGGGCTAAATAGCCCCGAGGCAGAAGTCCCAGGCTTTGCAGAGGGATCAGCAATGCCTTGACCCCATTCTCACACCTGTCGAATACCCGGCACTGAAAATCATCGTGGGCATTCACAAGTGTCTTCCTCCACAGGGCGAGATTTGAGTGTGTACCCCATGCCAGACTTATCAGGGCTGGAAAAAATGTGCCAGTGCAGTTCCCAAAGGCATTCAACAATAATATCTACCCTGCGGGGGGAAGTTTGCAAGTT